TAAGGAATTGTACAAAGGGGTTTCAATCCCCCAAGTCAGATTTTCAGTACAACGAATATCTTGATCAGTGCCATTCCTATTGTTTTCCCCCCGCCTTTCCCAATTCTATTGTTACACAGTTCAACTTTTATATAATGTGCACTTTACAGTGACCATATTTGCACACTCTTCTCCATTTGTGTGCTCCCTTCTCCTTAGTCCCCCCCCCACCCCCATGCCTGACTAAACGTATTTTGGCTTCTTGGTATTCATTTTGTTAAATGGTTGGTTAGTTCTATTTCCATTAAAATCATCTGCAGAATTATTCTTGTTTTGCTCTCTTCTCTCTTATACTACTTTGTTGTCTTACTATTATTCTTTTTTTTTTTTGTCCGTCGTGGGGCCTGAACTCTGGGCCTGGGCACTGTCCCTCAGCTCTTCAGCTCAAGGCTAGTGCTCTACCACTAGGACCACAGCACTACTTCCAACTTTTTTCTCCTTATGTGGTGCTGAGGAATTGAACCCAGGGCCTCATGCATGCGAGGCAAGCGCTGCCACTGAGCCATCTTCCCAAACCCTACTATTCTCTTTGACTGTTTTCTGATAAGTTTTTTCATAAGTTTTTCCATTGATAAACATTCCATTGGCCAAGATGAAATACAGAAACAAGAATAGATTTTTTTAATGTAAACTTGAATTGCTCTTGTGTTTTTTTCTCTTCTTATTGTAACCTTGGCTAAAATTTCCTTGTAGCCTTCTATACACACAATATGTTCTTGCTAGGTTTGTTTTAAATTTTGTGAAAACATTTATTATGTAAATTGTAAATGAATATGTTCTTTAAAAAAGACCAGTATAAGCTGGGTGCTGGTGGCACCCAGTAATCCTAGCTGTAATCCTAGCTACTTAGGAGGTTGAGATCAAAGCCAGCCCAGGCAGGAAAGTACGTGAGACTTTTTATCTCTAAAATAAAAAACACTAGAAAACTGGAAGTGGCACTGTGGGTCAAGCAGTAGAGCACTCTCCTTGAGCAGAAGAGCGCAGGGACAGCGCTCAGGCCCAGAGTTTAAGCCCCACAACTGACAGAGAGAGAGAGAGAGAACAATATATTAGCTGAGACCATGGCTCAAATGCTAGTATTTGCCATGCATATATACAAAGCCATAGGTGCACCCTCCAGTACAAGGTAAAAAGGAGAAAAAATACATTAAGAATAATACAAAAGGGGCTGGGAAAGTGGCTCAGTGGTAGAGCGCTTGCCTTGCATGCCTGAGGCCCTGAGTTCGATTCCTCAGCACCACATAAGCAAAAAGAAAAAAGCCGGAAGTGGCGCTGTGGCTCAAGTGGTAGAGCGCTAGCCTTGAGCTGAAGAGCTGAGGGACAGTGCCAGACCTAGAGTTCAGGCCCCACGACCAGACCCCCCCCCCCAAATAAAAGCCAATGACTCAATGCCTGTAATCCTAGCTACTCAGGAGGCTGAGATCTGAGGATTATAGTTCAGATCCAGCTCAGGCAGGGAAGTCACTGGGACTCGTCTCCAACTAATCACCAAAAAGCCTGTAGTGGAGCTGTCGCTCAAGCGGTAGAGTGCTAGCCTTGAGCATAAGTTTAGGGACAGCGCCTGGACCATGAGTTCAAACACCAAGACCTACATTTGTGCACTCCCCTTTGTCCCCCCCCCCCAAAATAAAAATAAGACTAGGCTGGTGCTGGTCGTTCACCTCTGTAATCCTGTTTATTTCAGTGGCTGAAATCTAGAGGATTGCTATTTGAGGCCAGCCTGGATGGGAAAAATACCTGAGAGACTCCATCTCCAAAATAACCAGCAAAACCCATCAGTTCCATATCAGACTGGATGACGTCTGCTCAAAGCCTTGAGATTACCAAAGTCTTACAGTTAGGCCAGCTTGGAACTTTGCATTGTTGCAGGGACAGCTCAAGCAACTTGAGTATTTTTGTTTTCATTTCACTGTAGTAAAACAGAGTCATTTATTTTTCATATTGTTACAGTTTTTAATTTGTCTTCTGTCAAGCTAAGGATAAACTCAAGGCCTCTCAAGCTGCAGATATGCTCCACCACTGAGTTCTACTCTTAACCTTGCACTTCCTTTTTTTTTTTTTTTTTTTTTTGATACTGGTCCTAGGGGTTGAACTCAGGGCCTAGGCACTGCCCCTAAGGTTCTTTTGCTTAAGGCTAGCACTTTGCCATTTGAGCTACAGCTCCATATCTGGCTTTCTGGTCATTTATTGAACATGAGTCTTCCAGGGATGGCTTCAAACTGCAGTCCTCAGATCTTAAGTTTCATGCGTAGCTGGAATTACAGGCATGAGCCACCAGTGATCAGCCTACACTTTAATACAATTTGGGTTTGTAGCTCAATGGTAGACCACTTGCCCAGTACGTATAGGGCTCTAGATTCCATTCTCAACACTACAGAAAAAAAATGCATAGAATATGTGAATATGTAGATTAGGAAAGCTTGATGTAATATATAGATATGAAAGTGTTCACATCTCCTTTTTCTATTGCCCTCTCCTCGCCCTTATCATGTTACTGCTATTTTTGTATGTATTCTTAGAATTTACATTAGGTTTATAGACCCTAAGTATGTAGCAGTAAGTCATGACTATGACCCCCTTTTTTTCCCTTTTCTGTGACCTCTTTAATAGTTATAAACTTCATGAAATACTTGGTTTAATAAAATAATTATAATAAGCCAGGCGCCATTGGCTCATGACTGTAATCCTATTTACTCATGAGACTGAGATTTGAGGATCATGGTTCAAAGCCAGCCCAGGCAAGAAAGTCAGTGAGACTTTTCAATTAATCACAGAAAAAGCCAGAAGTGGTGCTGTGGCTCAAGTGGTAGAGCACTAAGCTTGAACAAAAAGGAGCCTACTGCCAGCAAAAATAATAATTACTATTATACTAAAATTCAGAAGGCATTTTATAGAGTTGGGGAAAGTATATGGAAAAAGCCCAAAGTAGTTGATGTAATTCCATGTCACTTAGCAAAGGTAGCCCATTCTGTTAGTGTTACAAGATTTCAAATGTTTTTAAAAAAGGATTAGTCCCAGCTGGGCGTAAGTGGCTTACACCTATAATCTAAGCTACTCATGAGGTTGATCTGAGGATCTCTGTTCGAAGCCAGCAACAGGAATAAAGTCTGTGAAACTCATATTTCCAATAAACTCAGCAAAAGCTTGAAGTGGCTCTGTGGTTCAAATGATAGAGTACTAGCTGTGAGCACAAAAAAGCTCAGGAACAGCACCCAGGCCCTGAGTTCAAGCCCCAGGAATGGCACCAGTGGCTCATGCCTGTAATCCTAGCTACTCTGGAGGCTGAGAGCTAGGGATCTTGGTTCAAAGTGAACCTGTGCAGACAAACCCTGAAACTTGGATCTCTTATCAACCAGCAAAAGGCTGGAAGTGGAGGTATGACTCAAGTGTTAGAACTCTAGCCTTGAGAGAAAAAGTTAAGCTCAAGAACTAAGTTAAAACTCCAGTTCCAGCACCCCCCACAAAAAAAATATATTTTTTTTCTTTTTGTGAAGGACATGGGTCTTGAACTCAGGGTCTGAGTGCTGGCTTTTTCTTGCTCAAGGCTAGTGCCCTACCACTTGATCTACCCAGCTTCACTTCCAGCTTTTTGTGATTAGTAATTGTAGATTTGAGTCTCAGGTGGGGCTTTCCTGCCTGAATTGGCTTTGAACTGCATTCTTCAGGTCTCAGCCATCTGGGTAGCTAGGATTACAGGCATGAACCACCAGTGCCCAGCTTTAAAAAATGCCGTTTGAAAGGTATTTAAACTTGGCTTTAACCTGATTGTTTGTAGCCATGAAGCTTAAATAGTTTTTATTGTAGGAAAATCTTTGGTGGTGCTAGTCATTAAGAATAAAATATGACCAGAAGTCTTAGATTCTAGCTGATGACCTATTGGAAGCACTGAATTAGAGTAATATAATTATGCAGAGAAACTCAAATGTGCTACATTTGTATTTTGCCAACTAAGAATATTTCCCTCTTGAGCTGGGTATGGTAGCAGATACAACCTAGATATAATCCTCGTTATTTGGACTGTGAAGATTGGAAGGATTGTGGTTCAGCACTTCCCAGAAAGTACATGAGACCCCAATGCCACTAATTAAAAAAAAAATCTGGGCCAGGTACCGGTGGCTCATGCATGTAATCCTAGCTACTCAGGAGTCTGAGAGCCAAGGATTGTGGTTCAAAGCCAGCCTGGGCAGGAAAGGCCGCAAGACTTTTATCTCCAATAAACCACCAGAAAACCAGAAGTGTCGTTGTAGCTCAAGTGGTAGAACACTAGCCTTGAGCTGAAGAGCTGAGAGAGTGTCCAGGCCCAGAGTTCAAGCCCCATGACGAACAACAACAACAAAAAAATCTGAGTATAGTGATATGTGTTTGTAATTCAGCTTTGTGGGAAGTGTCAACAGGAAGATCAGGGCCAGGCTTGCCCAGGTTTAAATGCAACACACTGTTGTGAAAAAGCAAAAAGGATGGAAAGCATGGCTCTGCTTGGGTTCATATCCCAGTACCACAGGAGGAGGGGTAGGGACGAGGAAGGAAAGGAAAGAAATGAGAAAGTGGGGGCTGGGAAGGTGGCTCAGTGGTAGAGTGCTTGCCTTCCATGCATGAGGCCCTGGGTTCGATTCCTCAGCACCACATAAGCAGAAAAAGCCGGAACTGGTGCTGTGGTTCAAGTGGTAAGGCACTACCCTTGAGCTGAAGAGCTGAGGGAGAGCATTAAGGTCCAGAGTTCAGGCTCCACAACTGGCAAAAAAAAAAAAAAAAAAGGTCTCATGGACTTTCCTGTCTAGGCAGGCTTTGAACTGCAATCCTCAGATCTCAGCCTCTGTGAACCATCAGCACCTGTCCTCCCATTTTTATGAAGCTGGAGTTCGAGCTTAGGTCACCATGCAATTGGTAAAATCTTTGTAATAATTACTGTTTACTTCTGGTTAAATCCAAAGCTAACTTTATTTTTTTTTCTTTCACTTCAGTTACGGCAATCCCAGTCCTACTGCACAGACACAGAATGTCTTCAGGAATGTAAGTACCAAGGGGAAGGAAAAATTGGGGAGTACCTGGAGCATGTAGAGGAGGATCACAAAGGCCAGGCCATCCTGGGCTATGTATCAAGAGCCTGTTTTGGGCTGGAAGTATTGTTCAACTGGTTAAATGCCTACCTAGCAACTATGAGGCCTTGAGTTCAAACCTCAGTACTGTCCAATGAATGAATAAATTAATGAATAAGTTAATAAGAAGAGAGGGAAAAACTTCCAAAGAATTAAAAGATGACCATCCAGGCCCTGGTGGTCAGACTCTTCTCTCCAATTGACCACGAGAAAACTGGAAGTGGAGCTGTGATTCAAAGTTGTAGAGTGCTAACCTTGAGCAAAAAAAAAAAAAAACCTCAGGGACAGCACCCAGCCCTGAGTTCATGCCTGATGACTGACAAAAAAAATAAATAAAAGATGACCAGTGTTCAGACTGTTCCTCCAAGACCTTTGTTCTCAAGCGGCCAGATCTGGAGATTGCTGTTCAAAGCCAGCCCCTAGGCAGGAAAGTTCATGAGACTCTTCTCTCTAATAAAATACTCAAAAAAGGCTGAAAGTGGCATATGGCTCAAGTGGTAGAGCACTAACCTTGCACCCAAGAAGCTCAGGGACAGCACCCAAGCCCTCAGTTCAAACCACAGGACCAGCCAAAACAACAAATAAAAAAACCTGTACTGTCACAGAAAAAATCAAGTGGTAACTAAGCCTGAAGGCTGAGAACAGGTTGAAGGCCTGCCTGGGAAAAAATTTGAAAGACCCTGTCTCCCCTGAGGAAAGCTGAATACAGTGGCGTTTGATTCTATTGACTCAGCAAGGTTAGCCGGAGCAGAAAGTGAAACTTTTTTTTTTTTTGGTCAGTCATGGGGCCTGAACTCTGGGCCTGAGTGCTGTCCCTCAGCTCTTCAGCTCAAGTCTAACTCTCTACCACTTGAGTCACAGTGCCACTTCCAGCTTTTTCTGCCTATGTAGTGCTGAGGAATTGAACCCAGGGCCTCATGCATGCAAGGCAAGCACTCTACCACTGAGCCACCTTCCCAGCCCAGAAAGTGAAACTCTTAGGAGTAAAAAACAGGGCTGAAGGCTGGATGCTGGTGTTTCATGCCTGTAATCCTAGCTAGCTACTCAGAAGGCTGAGATCTGAGGATCGTGGTTTAAAGCCAGCCTGAGCAGGAAAGTCCATGAAATTCTTACCTCCAATTAACCACCAGAAAATCTGAAATGGCCCTGTGGCGTAAGTGGTAGAGCGCAATCACCTTGAGCTGAAGAGGTCAGGGTCAGCGCCCTAGAGTTCAAGCCTCATGACCTCCCCCCCCAAAAAAAAACAAAAAAGCAGGGCTCAAGGTATGCCTCATCTGTTTTGAGCCAGCCTAACAAGAGTTCAAACTGCAGTACCATCCAAAGAACTATGTGAACATTGAAAGAATTCTTGTCAGACAAGGGACTTGAACTCAGGGCCTGTCCCTGTACTCTTTTGCTCATGGCTAGTGCTCCACTACTTTAAGCACAGTGTCACTTCCAATTTTCTGTTGATTAATTGTAGATAAAAGTCTCAGGGATTTTCCTGCTTGTGTGGCTTTGAACCCTGATCCTCAGATCTCAGCCTCCTAGGATTACAGGCATAAGCCACCAGTGCCCAGCTTACAATTGCATATGTATATGTGTATGAGTATGTGTGTTGGTCCTGGGCCTTGAACTTAGGGCCTAGGCACTGTCCTTGAGCTTTGGGGCTCAAGGATAGCACTCTATGGCCTATCTATCTTATCTATCTAAGGTGTATTATGGAGGATGGTTGGTTTACAGATTTCCCTGGTCGGTTTCTAGGCTAAGAAGAGGCTGGAGTTTTCTCTAGTGGAGAATTTATATCCTGTCCGTAGGCAGGCAAGTGTGTATGTGTGTTCATGGGGGTGTGGTATACAGGAAATTTGTTTTGTTTTTGTTTTCCTCCTTCCTTTTTTCCCTCCCCACTTTTTCTCTCTCCTCTTCCCCTTCCATCCCCTCTCCTTCCATTCTTCCTTTCCCCCCTTCTCTCTTTTATACTGGGGTTGAACTCAGGGCATTGAACTTGCTCATACCTTTGGTCCTTTTTTGCTGTAAATAGCTTCTTTTTCTTTCATGAGGATAGCATATATTGAGATGCCCCAACCCATGCTTCCTTTGCCTCCCGAATAGATGAGATTACAGGTGTGTGGTACCAGGTCCAACCTAATTTTCCATTTCTTCATTGCCTGTCAGCTCAAATGTTATTTTCATATGAAAGAGGAATATTTTGAAAATGCCATGTTGTGAACTTTCTTACACACCTTTAAAGGACTTTTTTCAATGCTGTCCTAGTGCTTGAATTCAGGGTCTGGGTGCTGTTCCTGAGCTTTTTGCTGAAGTCTAATGCTCTATTGCTTGAGCTGCAGCTCCATTTCGGTTTTGTTTGTTTGGTGATTAACTGGAAGTAAGAGTCATGGACTTTGCTCCCCAGTTTAGCCTCAACCTGTGAGTCTCAGCTCTTAGTCTCCTAAGTAACTAGAATTATAGGCCTGAACTACCAGCTTCTGGCCAGTTAAGAACTTTTGACACATTACCAAATTTCAGTTTTATGTATTTATTTTACTGGAGATTGATCCTTGGTTCCCAGGCATAACAAGCAAGTGCTCTACCACTGACTTACACATCAGATGCTAAACTCTCTTTCATTATGTATTTGAATTTAAATCAAGACATGGTAATATTATTAAGATTTTTGCTTTATTACATTTTTTTTCCAGCAAGAACTTTATTACTGCCTGGGGGGTTACTTAGACTCTGCCCCAGGTACTAAAATACACTACAGGAGGTAATGAGTGATCTGGTGTTGCATTAACTTCTGTAAATACAGTAAATTGTAGTAGTTGCTTATACAGTGCCTTGCTGAAGTAGAAACTGTCAGCACTAAGCCCATTATGGCCCAAGGGAATCGTGCTCATGGAAGTGAAAGATGCATTGAGCTTCCCTCCAGATTTACACTGCTTCTCCAGTAACATTCATTCATCTGCCTATGCAGGTCAAGTGTTTGCCTCTGAGGTAGAGCTGAAACCTGCTTTTCCAGTTGAAAATAATCTTACTGAACTCTTCACAGGAAAACAAGTATTTATTACATTGTGATATTTGTGACTCTTTAGACAACCACACCCAAAACCACATATATTCTTATTCTTGTAGGTAAAGTGTCACTTCCTTACTCTAAATAGAAAAGTGAGTCTTAGGGTTTGATTGTTCATTTAGCTATATTGGCAAGTTGATTCCCCCTCCAAAGATCTGTAAACATTGGTAAAGATTCCTTTTGAAAGCTACGCTTGTATTATTTTTAAAAAAATTTTAACTTTGTCTTTTTTCTCTTTTTTGTGGGGGGAGGTGATAGCAATACTGGGGCTTAACCTCAGGGCCTTGAGCACTTTGTTGACTTTTTTGCTCAAGGCTGGCTGTATCACTTGAGACATAATTCTACTTTCAGCTTTTTGCTAGTTAAAATTGGCTGTTTTCTGGTTAATTGGAGATGAGACTTTCAGATTTGTCTGCCTGGGATGACTTTGAACTACCTAGGATTATAGGCATGAGCCACTAGTACCTGGCTCAAGCTATCCTACGCTTTGTAAAATGATTGGAATAGATTGCTCTGGTTGAAACTACTTTAATATTTTTTCCAATAAATATAAAAGTACTTTTGAGAAACAAGATGTGTTTTATTTTATGTTTTTGTTGGTCATGGGGCTTGAACTCAGGGCCTTGACACTATCTCTGAGCTCTTTTGCTCAAGGCTAGCACTCTACCTCTTTGAGCCACAGGCCACTTCCATATTCTGGTGATTAATTGAAGATAAGAGTCTCATGGTGGGGGAGGAATGGAGGGGAGAGAAAGAGGGAGAAAAATGAGGGAGGGGGTACAAGTTTGACAAGAAATGTACTCACTACCTTACTTATGTAACTGTAACGCCTTGACAATAAAAATTAAAAAAAAAAAAGTCTCATGGACTTTCCTGCCTGGCTGGCTTTGAACCACTCGTTTCCTGAGTAGCCAGGATTACCGGCGTGAGCTACCAGTGTCCAGTAATAAGATGCGTTGCTGTTTAAGAAAAAATAAAAATGTAATGATTATGGGAATTTCATGCTTTATTTATTTTTATTTATTTATTTATTTTTGGTTGATTATTGAGCTTGAACTCTGGGTCTGGGTGCTGTCCTTAGCTCTTAAGCTCAAAACTAGTGCTCTACCACTGAGCCACAGAGCCACTTCCTGCCTTCTGATGGATAATTGGAGATAGCTTCTCCTGGACGTTCCTGCCCAGCCTGGCTTTGATTCCTGCCTGGGCTACTTTAATCGGTGATCCTCAGATCTCAGCCTGCTGAGTAGCTAGGATTACAGGCATGAGACACAGGCACCCAGCTTCATGCTTGTTTGCTTGCTTGCTTGCTTGCTTGCTTTTGTTGGTCATGGGGCTTGAATTCTGGGCTTGGGCACTATCCCTGTGCTCTTCAGGTCAAGGTGAGCGCTCTACCGCTTGAGCCACGGTGCCACTTCCAGTTTTCTAGTGGTTTATTGGAGATAAGAGTCTCACAGGGGCTGGGAAGGTGGCTCAGTGGTAGAGCGCTTGCCTTGCATGCCTGAGGCCCTGGGTTCAATTCCTCAGCACCACATAAGCAAAAAGAAAAAAAGCTGGAAGGGGCGCTGTGGCTCAAGTGGTAGAGCGCTAGCCTTGAGCTGAAGAGCTGAGGGACAGCGCCCAGGCCCAGAGTTCAGGCCCCAGGACCGGACCCCCCCAAAAAAAAAAGAGTCTCACAGACTTTCCTGCCTGGACTGGCTTTGAACCTCGATCCTCAGATCTCAGCCTCCTGAGTAGCTAGGATTACAGGCGTGAGCCACCAGCGCCCTGCTATGTTTTTTGTTTTTTTTTTGGGGTCCGGTCATGGGGCCTGAACTCTGCCTGGGTGCTGTCCCTCAGCTCTTTAGCTCAAAGCTAGCTCTCTG